GGTTGGTACTAATCTATTGTCCCATGACCCCCCCACAGGGTTTGTAAACTCATACATATATACACACACACACACACACATATATATATACATGCATACACACACACACACATACACATACATACATGTCATCCTTCAAGTGTCAGACCAAATGCCAGCTCCCCTTCAGAGCCTCCTCTGACTTGCTCAGAGAGACTATGGCTCTCTCCTGACCACAGACTCCCGCGGTCCCTTCCCGTTAGCAGTCACAACCCACACACATTACCATAGACACAAAATCCAGGAAATGAAATCTTTGCATTCAAGTCACCTCATGGAGGCATCTGATGATGGTCCCAATGCAATGACACAGGCAGAAGGCAAGGCAGATGTTTCTAGAAGAGGCCGGATGGACAAGAGAGAGTCTCCAATTCCTCTGCAGTTGCTTCTCTCCGTTGTCTTTGTGTCCTTCCCAGGCGACTTACTGTGTGGTACAGCCACTGTATCTCCAGGACCAGGGCTCTTTATGGGGCTCTACCTCAGGGCTACACTGGTCCTTCCCTTAACCTAAGCTGAATATCTTTTATTGTGTTTAGTTTTTGTTTGTTTGTTGCTGAGACAGGGTTTCTCTGTGTAACAGCTGTGGCTGTTCCAGAACTCACTCTGTAGACCAGGCTGGCCTTGAACTCACAGAGATTCCCCTGCCTCTGCCTCCCGAGTGCTGGGACTAGAGGTGTGCACCACCACCACCACATGGCTTGTGTTTAGTTTTATAAGTATCATTTAATAAACAGTACTAAGTGCCCATTATATGCCAGGAAATAGGATCAGCATTAGCGTAAAACAATGAATGAGACCTCGTCTTTGTCCTGGGAGCTTGCAGGGTCGTGTGGGAGACAAACACACAGATCCATCTTGCTAATGCCACAGGAGGCTGGCAGACATGGAGAAACTTAGCTGGGTTTCATGGAAAGACCACGTTACATTCAGGTGAAGAAAAACGGAAAGGGAATCCAAGGAAGGAAATGATGGGACAAAGAGGAGCCCATGTGAAGGGTGTGAACTATGGGGCAGGGGTGAAGGGTGAGACATGGTGTGAACTGTGGGGCAGGGGTGAAGGGTGAGACACAGTGTGAATTGTGGTGCAGGGGTGAAGGGTGAGACACGGTGTGAGCTGTGGTGCAGGGGTGAAGGGTGAGACACGGTGTGAGCTGTGGGGCAGAGGTGAAGGGTGAGACATGGTGTGAGCTGTGGGGCAGGGGTGAAGGGTGAGACACGGTGTGAACTGTGGGGCAGGGGTGAAGGGACGGACACGGTGTGAACTGTGGGTAGGGGTAAAGGGAGAGACACGGTGTGAACTGTGGGCAGGGGTGAAGGGTGAGACATGGTGTGAGCTGTGGGGCAGGGGTGAAGGGTGAGACACGGTGTGAGCTGTGGGGCAGGGGTGAAGGGTGAGACATGGTGTGAGCTGTGGGGCAGAGGTGAAGGGTGAGACATGGTGTGAGCTGTGGGGCAGGGGTGAAGGGTGAGACACGGTGTGAATTGTGGTGCAGGGGTGAAGGGTGAGACACGGTGTGAGCTGTGGGGCAGAGGTGAAGGGTGAGACATGGTGTGAGCTGTGGGGCAGGGGTGAAGGGTGAGACACGGTGTGAGCTGTGGGGCAGAGGTGAAGGGTGAGACATGGTGTGAGCTGTGGGGCAGGGGTGAAGGGTGAGACACGGTGTGAACTGTGGGGCAGGGGTGAAGGGTGAGACATGGTGTGAATTGTGGTGCAGGGGTGAAGGGTGAGACACGGTGTGAGCTGTGGGGCAGAGGTGAAGGGTGAGACACGGTGTGAACTGTGGGGCGGGGGTGAAGGGTGAGACACGGTGTGAGCTGTGGGGCAGAGGTGAAGGGTGAGACACGGTGTGAACTGTGGGGCGGGGGTGAAGGGTGAGACACGGTGTGAGCTGTGGGGCAGGGGTGAAGGGTGAGACACGGTGTGAACTGTGGGCAGGGGTGAAGGGTGAGACACGGTGTGAGCTGTGGGGCAGGGGTGAAGGGAGGGACACGGTGTGAGCTGTGGGGCAGGGGTGAAGGGAGAGACATGGTGTGAACTGTGGGGCAGGGGTGAAGGGTCAAACACAGTGTGAACTGTGGGGCAGGGGTGAGGGAGGGGCACGGTGTGAACTGTGGGGCAGAGGTGAAGGGTGAGACACGGTGTGAGCTGTGGGGCAGGGGTGAAGGGTGAGACACGGTGTGAACTGTGGGCAGGGGTGAAGGGTGAGACACGGTGTGAGCTGTGGGGCAGGGGTGAAGGGAGGGACACGGTGTGAGCTGTGGGGCAGGGGTGAAGGGAGAGACACGGTGTGAACTGTGGGGCAGGGGTGAAGGGTCAAACACAGTGTGAACTGTGGGGCAGGGGTGAGGGAGGGGCACGGTGTGAACTGTGGGACAGGGGTGAAGGGAGAGACACGGTGTGAACTGTGGGGCAGGGGTGAAGGCTGTTATCATCACGACAGGGAGCATGGCAGCGTGCAGGCAGATGCGGCGTTGGAGGAGGAGCTGAGAGTCCTGCATACTGCAGGCAACAGGAAGTCAACTGAAGGAAGCTTGAACAAAAGAGATTCAAAGCCCACCCCCAAAGTGACGCACTTCCTCCAATGAGGCCACACCTCCTAATAGTGCCACTCCCTTTGGGGGCCATTTTCTTTTAAGCCACCCCAGAGTGGGAGTGGATTGGGGGGTGGGAGGGAATGCAGTGGGTGAGGAGAAGGGGAGGGAGAGGAGGAAATGCTGCTGGAATGTAAAATAAATAAATAAATTTGTTTGGAAAAAAACAGCAGCACTGAATATAAGACTGTTATTTTTCTCAAAACAAGGCAATAATGTAGTTTTAAAATGTATGTTTTGTGTAAATGTATGTGCATTCACATGTGTGGGCATATGTGTGTGTGGGGTGCCTGCACACGTGTGTGCACGTGTGTATAGAGCCCAGAGGGTGCTGTGTTTCCTCTCTGACTCCACTCCACATTATTGGTTGAGACAGTCTCCCATCTGAACCCAGAGCCGACTGATTCAGCTAGAGTAGCTAGCCTGCTTGTTCCCAGGCATCCTGGCTCCACATCCCACATGCTGCTGGGATTAGAAACCTGTTACCTTGCTCACGTGGCATTTATGTCTGTGCTGGGGGTCTGAATGCTTGCTTGGCAAGTGTTTTACCCACTGGGCCGTCTCCTCAGCCCAGGGAAATATATATATATATATTTACATCATGTTAGGTATTCTCCGTTACCTAGATATAATGTGAATAGTGGGAGAGAAGATGTGCAGAACTCATACAAATGCTAATCGGTTTCATATAAAGGACCTGTGAGCATCTGAGGGTTTGGGACGTGTGTGTGTGTGTGTGTGTGTGTGTGTGTGTGTGTGTGTGTGTGTGTGTGTGTGTGCGCGCGTAGAACCAATCTCCCTTGGACACTACAGGACAATTGCAATTATATTTCAAGAATAGCTTCCAAGATACAATTTTGAAAAGTTAAAATAACGTACTTAAAACACCCAAACCACATGGAAAACAAGCCTTTGTGTATGTTATCTTCATAGTCAAAAACAGGCAGAGTGGTTACTCCCTGGTCCTCTTTACAGTTTAATTTCTTAGCCAAGTCTGCAGCTCATAGAGAGTCACTGCAACTTCCTGAGCAGCGCCCTCTGTAAGAGTTGTTTTCATGTTTTGAACTGCTGATGTCTTTTAATGTATTCTTTAGTGTAAACCAGTGTGTGTGTGTGTGTGTGTGTGTGTGTGTGTGTGTGTGTGTGTGTGTGTTTGGTGACAATGTCCTCAGCCATGTAGGTGCATATAGAAGCCAGAGAGTGACATCAGGACATCTCCCTCAGTTGCCAACTTGTTTTATTAAGATGGTCTCTCCCTGAATCTGGAGCTGTTTTGGATAGATTGGCAGGCGAGTGAGCCCCTCCGAGCTGCTTGTTTCTGTCCTCTATTGCTAAAGGTAGCTGCCGTCCATCCCTCTTCTAAGTGGTTCCTGGGAAGCCAAACTCAGGTCCTCATGCTTACACAGTTAGCACCTTACCCACGGAGCATCTCCCAGGCCAGTCCGTAATGTTTTTAACTAGTGATGCATTCATTGCTCATGGGTGTTAAGGCATCTTGCAAGCTTAGTGTTAATTCTGCTTACTGGATAATAGCCTCAATTTTTAAAATAAAAACATCTCAGACCAAAATTAACCAGACCCAACATCTGTTATGATGTTTTTGTTTGCACGATTTCTTGTTCGGCCAGAGCAGTATTTAACACATTAAAAATATTTATTTATTTTATTTAGTGTGTACAAGTGTTTTGCCTACATGTCTGTCTGTTCATCCCAAGCATGCCTGGTACCCATGGAGGTCACAGACAGCCATGGATCCATTTGAACTGGAGTTACAGATGGCTGTGAGCTGCCTTGTAGGTACTGGGAGTGGAAGCCCGTGCCCCTGCAAGAGCAGTCAAGTGCTCATAATGGCTGAGCCATCTCTCCACATATTTCCACAAAATAAAATAAGGTGTAAATAAATAGTTATCTTTATTTAGGAATCTTCTTAATAGTTTTTAAGTGCTGGGCTTAAAATCAAGCACCCTGTGCATGCTGGTCAAGGACTCTACCACCGAGCTACACCCTGGTCATTTTTGTTTACATGTTTATTTTATATTTAGAGACAGGGTCTCGTGAAGTTGTGATCAGGTCTTGAACTTGTGATCCTGCTGCCCCAGCCTCTTGAGTAGCAGGGGTTGTAGGCATGTGTCCCCCTGTCCATCACTGAGCGTTCCTTTGCATGCACTGTGTGTGTATTTTACAGGATGGCAAGCCATCCTTGGTGGCAGACACGAAGCTCAGCCAAGCCCCTCCCACTTCATTCTAGTGCACACCCAGCTCTAGTGCTGTTTCTCTTGTCTCTTTTTTGCTGGAAAAGGAACAGCAGAGGATGGCCCCACCACAAACCTAGAGACGTCTCATTCCATGATCAGAAAATATCCATGTAATTCTTTTAAACATTTATTCAAGCCACTCCTACATTCTCATGACTAAAAAAATAAAAGGAAAAAGAAATGTATTGAAGATCACATAATTTCTAATGAGAAATAAAAACAGACTTCTCATAAAGGCTCAAACCTGTCACAAGAGCTGTCTTCTGGATATGTACAACTGTCAAAATGTGAAGTCTTCATCACACGCAAAACAGAGCAGCCTTTGAGCCCAGCCTTGAACAGGCAGGCTTGGAAGCACTTAAAGCAAAGAACAGTAGCAACACAAGCATTTCCCCGAGCCCTGCCCAAGCTCTGCCCACTTCTTATGCCCCAGGGAGAGGGACAATGATGGAGGACAGTTCAAGAGTCGGTCAGGCCACCAACCGTCTGCTCCGATCTCAGTTCCGAGGCTGGGAGTTGAACTCTGTACAGATACTCTGGATGATCCTGGGGACGAATTTGTAGAGGTTGTCAAACTCATCCACAAAGAAGGCGTGGTCCCTGGCGGGGTGGGTGGCGATCACCTCCAACTCGTCTTGGGCTGCCCACGCGATGCCTATTGCGTATGTGATCACCCCTGTGGGGACAAAGTGGCATGAGGCAAACGGCCCTGAGCAAAGGGACTGGCAATGAACATTTTCCTGCTGGCTTCTCCAAATCAGAAATAAGCCAAAGAAAACCAGCGAGAGACCCCAGTGGGGCCTAGCTTCCAGAAGTAAACCAAGTGTGACTATTGCTTCAACGAACGTTTTGAATATCCCTCCATAGCAATAGCAGCAACAGTAATAAAGCTTCTGGCCTTATTTGAGCATAGGGTCTTTTACAGACACAGTGAGGCCATGCTGGAGTAGAAAGGGATCCTAATTCAGTACCACTGGGTCCTTAAAAAGGGAGGGAGAGATGGAGACCGACACAGACAGTGAGTGACAATAGACAGAGGTCAGACAACCCAAAGGACTGAGGAGCAGTCGAGGATGGCACTGCCCAGGGTCTCAGAGAGCGTATTCCTCCAGTGACTGGATGCTGGGCATCTAATGGACAGAATAGAGCAAGAAGAAATGACTGGTTCTCTACAAATTTGTGGCATTTTTCATTTCCTTTCTATCCTACTGTCTAGGATGCAAGGAGCCAGCTGTGGTTTTTAACAGCACAGCTGTTTGTTGGCCTTTGACTAAAGATGGGAAGACTTTACCCAGTAAAAACTACACAACCGCAATAAAAACTGGGCTTTCCAGACCCCAGGGCCACTGTTTTGGGGAAAAATTTCCATCAGCATCACAGATGGATGGTCACGCTAGATGGACTTGGTACTCCAGGGCACACAGTCCTTACTACATTTTCAGATTGAATCTCAGAGTCAGGCACTATGACATGAAGTCACCCCATGCCATTAGAGTTCTTAACAAAGGTCTGTAACTCCAGTTCCAGAGCATCTAATGTCCTTTTCTGCCTCCAAGGGCATTGCGTGCATGTGACGCATAGACACACATACAGGCAAAAAATCCATACATATAAATTAAAAGGTAAATAAATCTTTAAAAGTTTATGGATTTTTTTTTGAGACAGGGTTTCTCTGTATAACAGTTCTGACTGTCCTGGAAGTCACACTGTAGACCAGGCTGGCCTCGAACTCACAGAGATTCACCCGCCTCTGCCTCCTGATTGCTGGGGTTACAAGTGTGTGCCACCACTGCCTGGTGTAAAACTATGTAGGATATTCTAAAAGGCAACTCAAATTACACAAAGACCAACAAATCTAAGCGTGGTACCGAGTTCTGCACCCTCCCTTAGGTTTCCAGTGATCACGAACCACTTGGTTTCCTTTTTTTGTCCTTTAGTGTTTTGAGACAAGGTTTCACTGTGCAGCCTTGACTGGCCCAGAACTCGCTCTGTAGACCAGGCTGGCCTTGAACTCACGGAGATCTGCCTGCCCTTGCCTCCCGAGTGCTGGGATGAAAGGCGTGCACCACCGCCGCCGGGCTGCTTTCCCTTTCCTATTACTTAAGGTTTTCTTCAAGCTTCTTATAGTGTTTCACTGCACTTTTCAGGACAAGAACTCTATGCCCATGGGTTGTACGGGAGAGGTTTGAATGCAACTGATTTTTATAAATATTTTGTTCACCTTGCATGTTTTTAAAACTGTTTTGGCTTCTTAAGGTTTTAAACTTTTGATTTCTTTATTTATTAGTGAGGATGTGCAGGCCACACCCTGAGTGTGTGGACAGAAGACAATTTTGTGGAGTTAGTTTTCTCCTTCCGCCTTCATGTAGGTTTCGGGGATCAAATTCACACTTGGGCTTGCACAGAGCGTGTTCTTATCCACTGAGCCATTGCATGAGCCCTCCTAGGAAATTTGGCATGGAAATCTTTAAAAATAATTTAAATAGGCCGGGCGTTGGTGGCGCACGCCTTTAATCCCAGCACTCGGGAGGCAGAGGCAGGCGGATCTCTGTGAGTTCGAGGCCAGCCTGGTCTACAAAGTGAGTTCCAGGACAGCTTCCAAAGCCACAGAGAAACCCTGTCTCGAAAAAACTAAAAAAAAAAAAAAAAAGATAATTTAAATAAAGAATCCCCCTAAAGGACCAAGATCTGGTTAGCAGTCATTGCCAAAAAAGGAATGGTGGCATGTGGACAGGAGGATTCTGTGTTTGTGACAAGTCTGGGTCATATAGGAAAAACCTTCTTGGAAAAAAAAATCAAAGCAAAAATGAATATCCAGCTGCAATATTACATTTCTTTAAAAGCAGTGTTATTCTGTAAAATGTACAAATATGAGGAATCAGTAAGGCTAGAGGTTTAAAATCTTTCATCAAGCAACGATTCATGCCTATATGGAAGGAATTTTAGGCCAGAGGGTGTAAAAGGAAGGGTTACTGTTCCAGTGCCTGTGGGCTCTGGGTTTTCAAGAATACTTGAGGAACTAATAGACTGACTCCTTTCAACTCTGTGTCCTCTTCTTAGAGACGCCTACACCGTTTCCTCCCTACCGCTCTCCTTGTGGCTGCGAACCCTAAAATAAATAAATAACAAGATCTGTTTATGTGCATATATGTGTGCATATACGCATGTGAAATATCCATAGAGACTGGAAGAAGGAGTCGAATACCCTCAAACTGGAGTTTCAGATGGCTGTGGGCCACCTTGTGGTGTAGGGAACAGAACCCAGGTCCTTTGCAAGAACAACCAGAGCTAACCATTGGGCCATCTCTTCAGCCCCTGTGTACATTTTCTTAAGCCCTAGACAGAACCAGTACATACCCCTCTACCCCTTCAAGAAAAGCCTTTGTGCCCACGTTTATAGCAGGAGCGCTCACCCTTCTGGTAGGCAGCCATGGCTGGGATGCGCACGTCGTCGTAGGACCTGCCGTCAGTGATCAGGATCATTAACTTCCTCTTGTTGGGTTTGGACTTCTTGAAGAGCTGTTCGAGGGCATACTGGATGGCAGCCCCGGTGCTGGTGCCCCCACTCCAGTACCCCACCCTCCTGATGGCACTGAGGATGTCGTTTTTGCTGCTATACTTGTCGAACCCGAATTCCAGCCGCTGCTCATAGGTGTACTGCACGGCCCCGATGCGCGTGTCGGTGTCTGAAATCTCAAACTCCTTGCTGAGGTTGGCCACAAACTGCAGAACAGTGCGGAAGTTGCTTGTCCCCACGCTGCTCGAGCCGTCAATGACAAAGCCTATGTCGGCAGAGTTTAAGCAGGTCTTGCTGCAGGCTAGGCGGTCTGTGTCACAGATCCGCTTCACCAGGGGCTGCACCGTCTTGTGAAGGCTGAGCCAGCTCTGCACGTTGAAGGTGTAGAAGCCGTTCGTTCTGCACACAGCCTGGAAGAGAGAGAGGAAAGACGAGGTCCAGGTCAGGGGTCATGTCCTTATGCCTGCCACCATTACCTTTTCGCCACCAGGCAGGTTTTACAGAGCCATACTTCCTGAATGTTCTTTATTCCAGTTTCCTGGCTGGGAAGCACTGAGGTCAAGACCCCCTGCAGTAACATCTGGACTCAGCCGGGTCCCTGCCTTAGTGGAAAACGGTCGGATGAGCAAATCCACAGGGAGATGGGCATCGTTGGCTTTAGCTTCGTGTTTCTGCCTCTGCTGGCTCCTCGACCCATTTGTACTGGAACCCAGCCATAAGTGTGGCATTTACAGGTACATGGAGGAGGACTAAAGAAAGCTTTTGCTCTGATACACAAACAGGGATGTTTCCAGGGCAGCCCTGTACCCTGCGGAAGGGATCCCCAGCGGCCACGCGTGTTGGATGCTCCTACGGTCTCTTATCTGGTTCCCACTCTCATCACACAACAGGGACCCTTATCATGAAACAAAGGTCAGGCTGTGAAGGGACATCCTTGAGTCCCTGAGTCTGGAGCGTCAGTTTTATCTGCTATTAAATTCCAGGCTCTGCCTGCCACGCAACCCTGCCTCCAGGCACGTGGGTATTTGTCTGTGTCCTAGCTTGATCCAGAAAAAAACAAAAACAAAACCCAGAGGGACATCAAAGAAAGCCTGAGCAAGTCGGTTAGTATGTTCTTAACGTGACTAGGCTTGTGTCATGAGCTCGGGCCATCAACCCTTGATCCTACAGATCTCTGGGGGTCTGAGAGGGTCAGACTTCAGGACTACAAATGAACTTGTATAATGACAACACTATTTTAAGCAAGAAATAACTGAAATTTTTCCTAGGAAACATTATTTATTTATTTATGTGGGCTCATGAAACTTTCCACAGCTGAGGCAGATGAATACTGGGAGAGGGCTGAGGGCCGGCTGGCGTGTGGATAGGAGGAATCCTACCGGACAGCCCGCCTAAAGCCACGGCAGGAGACTGTGTGGACTGGAGATGGGTTTGGTGGGGACACATATGTGGAGGTCATGGCAGGCTTGACCAGGAAGGGCGGTTGGAGCCTCATTCCGCGGTACCTCAGTTGTTACAGGTCACGGTGGAGGATTTGGAGCAAGGAGCCCGGACTGGCAGGATGTTTCAGAGTGAACCGGGGAAACTCTGAAGGGCAATGGACTAGTGACGCAGTGCTGTCTGATAGAACTGGATAACAGCAGAGGGTGAGAACTGCAATGTGGGGTATGAAGGTATGATTCTGGGATGCCACTGTCTTTGGGCAAGTGTGGGGCCGCCGAGGAGTATCACAGGAACATGACCATTCTCATCTGGGACGTGGAGACATCCTTTGCTTTGTTTATCAGGTGGGTTCACTTGTACTGTTTGTGTGTGTGTGTGTGTGTTGGGGTAGGGTATGTATACATACATGCAAGCCTCTGTGTGTGTGTGTGTGTGTGTGTGTGTGTGTGTGAAGTCTACGTGGCTGTTTGGTTGGGTTGTCCCACTGCCATGAGAGGAGCAAGAGGAAGTTTTAAGTGAGACTTTGAGAACACTGCTCTTGTCCCTGCTCTCAAGCTCTTGGTTGTGCAATGACAGTAGTGTTGGCTTTGAGAGGACAATTCCAGGCTCCCCCATGGGAGGCCCCACTACTTACTCGTGAGTTTCATGCACATTTGAAGCCTCCATGAGAACTTGTCGGAGTGCAGAGGCTCGTGCCCTGCGCCTGCGGGGTCCCTATGCAGGCACGTACCTTGCTGGCGAAGTTGGGCTCCGGCACATACTGCTTCTCGCTCTCAGCAGCCCCCTCGACGGTGATGAAGAAGACATTGATCCCCGACTCCCTTGCCACTCGGGACACCTCTTCCACTTTGTCTGTGGGCCAGCCATCAACCACGACCACAGCCACATTGGGAGCGCCACCCCTGTTCCCATTAGCTTTGGAAAAGAAGTTCTTGGTTACAAAGGAGATGGCACGGCCTGGAGGAGAGAGAAAAACTGTGGTTACGGTAACGGCGAATGTAGGGACAGATTACAGCAGCACAGCGAGGTCTAGACAAGCATACCCACTCCCTTTCCCGTTGTTTGTTCCTCCTCCCTCTTCTCTTGTTTGTTTGTTTATTTACTTATTTGAGGCAGGGTTTATCTTTGTAGCCTTGTCTGTTGTGGTACTCTCTCTGTAGTCCAGGCTGGCCTTGAACTCAAGAGATCCACCTGCCTCTGCCTCCCCAGTTCTGAGGTTAAAGACATGTGCCACCACCACCTGGCTGTTTCTTCTTTTAACACGTAAGAAAATCACTTTATCTGTAGGTGCAGCAGAAATCAGCTCACTCACAATGTTGTACAGTCTTTCCTCAGCTTGGTTTTTAAACCCAGAACTTGTGTCTCTTGTTTGAAAAGAGAAAGATTTAGGGTCTAGCAAGCAGGGGAGAAAGACTTCCATGAGGTCAAAGGGCCCCTTTCTGCTTGGGGTGGGGATAAGAGTATTAGACTCCTCTCAGGCCCCCAGACAGGCCCATGCTATGTCTGAGAACACAGGATGGGAGGGGTCAATCTGGAGTGGCCTTAGCCTCATCTGGCTCTTACAGCCTGTGCCCCAGCTGTTGTGTGACGAGTTATCTTCCATAGTTAGCGACACCTTTTCTCCAGTCCCAGTCTGAGAGCACAGGCCCTTGAAGAAATGTACCTCCTAGGAACAGAGAGCCTGGGGTCTAGCCTTAGCTATGACCACTACTGGCCCTGTAGGTCACTCAAGGACCTGGGGCCTAGATTTACAGACCAACAGTCATGAGGAATGACGGAGACTCTGGCATGCTTTTCTCATGTGTGTACAAGCATCTCAGGACATTTTCAACTAATTCAACCCACTGTCCTGGCTTCTCAGAATTTTCCTGCTTTTATCACTGAATGTCCTTCTGGGCATCCTAAGATGGCTGGTTGATTTTGAGTTAGCATGGCTGCACGTAGCATGGGCCTTAGCTTGGATCCGGCGTGTGTGTGTGTGTGTGTGTGTGTGTGTGTGTGTGTGTGTGTGTGAGAGAGAGAGAGAGAGAGAGAGAGAGAGAGAGAGAGAGAGAGAGAGAGAGAGAGAATGGGGAGTGCAGGGCACTGTACTAGTGCTATGAACTAGCATTCTGGCTGGAGCAGGTTCATGAAAAGGCCTTGTTGACAGAGTTGAAAACGGTTTCCCTAACACTGGAAGAGGTAGCAGCTCCCTTGCTGTCCCCGCACGGCACCTTGAGAAGTCATTCTGAACACTCAAGCTTCTTCACCCTTTCTGTGCTGCTCCATGAGCACAGCCCCCACCCGCCTCAGCCAGTTACATTGACCGTGTTCCCTGGATTTCCGACTGATGCAGAGGCGGGGTGAGAACACATCACCCTCTGCGAATGTGTGCCGACTGGTTAGGTCACCTCCCAGGGGAGTGAGCGCCTCGCTAAGGTTTTCTCTTTGGAATGCTGCTTGTGTACACAGTAAATTGGATGCTAATGTGAACCCCCTCCCTCACGCTTATGATGCAGGTGGCGTTGGCTTTGTGACTTGGCTAGTGGTTGTTTAGCATGTTCTGGTCACTAGAGGGACTAGAGAGAGGGAACTCATTAGAGTCTCTGCGATTCCAAGGATGCTCTGTGGAAGTTAGTCCTGCTTGTCGCTTTACTCCATACGCCATACAGTCATGCCACCGTAACTGGCATGTGAATTCCCTGGCCTTAAACGGTTGGAAGCTTCCCTAAGGCAGTAGCAGCCTCCCCCAGACTTTGAGCACGCATGGTGTGAAGTCATTCCCCCCTGTCTGGTCTCCTCGGGCTGAACAGGTACAACGGAACTTCTGGAGCTGTCCCACTGAGAACTAGACCTTGGGCCTCTAGTGCCACTTGGCCCTCCTAAGGTTCAGATGCCACAGGGAGCTCATCTTCAAAAACACAGGACTTCCCTTGCTCAGCATAGTCGCTGTTACCACAGCTTTGATGGGCACAGGACCCGAAGGGGCCTTCTGTGTGGAACAGTGACAGACTTTCATGCTAACTGGTTGGTAGCTTCTAGGCCAACCATGAAGTCAGTCACGACAGCTGTCCCGTTAGTCCCGAGGAATGTGGCTGCCACCCACAGAGCAAGGAACTCTGAGGCACAGGCGTTCTGGTCATCCTTGCACCTGAATCCAGGGTAATACTTTAGGAAAGATACAGAGGCTGCACGTCACTTCTTGATGTGTTATTTTTTCCTCCTCCTCCAATATAGAATATTATAAGACAACCACATAGAAGGTGCACCATGGTAACCATGCAGAATTACCCGAATCTGGGTCACATACCTACATTAGAAAGGCCTCCTCTCTGGGTAATTTTCTCAATAGCTGCCTTCAGATCTTGAGAATTCACATGAGTTTTGAGGTTAAACTGGGTAGCAGGGTTGTCTCTAAAGAGAACAAGAAAGAAAAGTTGGTTAGAAAGTTATTCCCTTCGGAGGAATCCTGGCTGAATACATGCCTTCATGTACAAATACAGTGGATGCTGTGACTAAGGCTGAGGCCGTTTTAGGAAGTGTCCCTTGGAGGACAAGGTCATGATGAGGCTCGGTGGCTGGGATCCTCACGGGGATATAGGGACAGCAGGATGCTTGGGACAGGCTTGGAAGATGTGAGGTGACTTTTGACTAGGCCATGTCCTAGCTGTGTAATCTTTTTGTTTCTTCTTAGAGCAGTGAGAAAAGTTCTCTTTAGTTTATCTCCTCAGGAATGAATTTCCTTTTCTCTAATTGATTTTGTTGTTTGACGACATCATACATATATATGCGTATATAACACATATATGACGACATCGTACATATATGTGTATATAATGTATTCCGGCCACCTTCTCTCCTCTAACCCCTCTCACCTTCTTCCCATCCCTCTCACTGCCACCCTGTCCAACCTTTACTGGTTCGTTTCCCGGATACATGCCTTTTGGATTGGTTTTGAGATCCATTCGGTTTAACTAGGGCCACTGTGTGACCGTTGGGTTGGAAATGTCTAAGAGTCTGGTAGGGTCATCGGAGAGTACACACTTAAGACAATGATTTCTCTATCAGTCTAACTGTGTAATCTTGAGGAATCATTTAATTTTGGGGGAAGTTCAGCTTCCTCAGAGACAAAAGCATCATCATAACATATCATACATAACACCGTAATACAGCAATTACATTGCTGATGCTGTCCAGTGAATTCTACCATAGGGAAGTAGCAGTGGGTTCTCAATGTCTCTTGATTGCCTATATCCTCTGCAATAAATCTCAGATTTTAGCCACTCCACAGGTGATCAGAGACCTGCTGGCCAAGTCCTGGATGCCCCCTAGCACCGGAACCAACAATGAATAGTGGCGCCAGGAAGACCACTATACCAAGGTGAGAACCTTGGGACTCCGGCGAGTAGGTGACATGACTGAAATCTCATGAGAAGGTCATTGCCATCTTACGACAGCAGGAGCAGGTCCGGTGAGACGGAATCAGGACCCTTCTCTAGAGACAGGTATGCGTGCGCGGGGGAGCAATGAGAACAGGCTCGGAGCTGTCAAGTAGAGGGTGTGGAGGAGTGCCAGAGGGTGAAGTCAATTCCAGGGGTGTGTGCACCCTCAGCCATGGTGCAGCAAGGATGTGAGATGAGCTCGTATCTCTGGAGGCACCGACACTCAGCCAAAGGCAGAGCGGAGAGCCCTGAGCCGCACGTCCTATGCAGCCGCAAAAGGCTGCAGGCTTCCAAAGAGCCCTCGCTCGGTTCAAAGACGCTGTCCTCTAGAAACTCTTAGCTTTTGAACCAGGGAGCCTGCAAATTACAGCACTAGTGCAGGCTGTGGGACCAAGTCCTCAAGAGGTGGGAAGTCTTTTAGAAGCTTTTCCACAAGCAACCGAGGCCCAGCACTAGCAGCTTCTAGGGCAGTTTGGGGTGAGGACTGTAAAGTGCCTGCCATGTGCTCTTTCTCTTCCTTCAGACCCCGGTATGGTCCACAGGGCAGAAGCCATCAGGACGAACTTCAGACTGAGGAGACCTCCTCTGCCTCCTTCCCGTCCCTCTTCCTTCCTTACCCCCAACCTTGCTCCGTGTCTCAGGCTGATCTTAGCTATGCCCAGAAGGTGCGCTTATTTAAGTGGCGGGCGACAGCAGTCTGAAGGGCCTCTACCTTCAGAGAACTTCAGGAAGTGCTGTTTTCACCTCCAGCATGGACCTCAAACCCCATACTTACTCACATAGCCCCCATGTTCCCATCCCCCATGTCCCAGCAGTTCCGCTAGCCTTAACTCCTGATTCTAGTATGAAATTCGGTTAGCTGCGGCAGTGCCAGGGATAGCATCTGCCACAGGACTCTTCCTTCTGTTCAAAAAATCCTCAGGGGATCTGGATGTAAAGATGGGCCACAACATCAAAGTTAGCTAATGCCTGGTTAGCATGTGTTAGCTCATGCCTGGTTAACATGTGTTAGCTCATGCCTGGTTAGCATGTGTTAGCTCATGTCTGGTTAGCATGTGTTAGCTCATGCCTGGTTAGCATGTGTTAGCTCATGTCTGGTTAGCATGTGTTAGCTCATGCCTGGTTAGCATGTGTTAGCTCATGTCTGGTTAGCATGTGTTAGCTCATGCCTGGTTAGCATGTGTTAGCTCATGCCTGGTTAGCATGTGTTAGCTCATGTCTGGTTAGCATGTGTTAGCTCATGCCTAGTTAGCATGTGTTAGCTCATGCCTGGTTAGCATGTGTTAGCTCATGCCTGGTTAGCATGTGTTAGCTCATGCCTGGTTAGCATTTGTTAGCTCATGCCTAGTTAACATGTGTTAGCTCATGCCTAGTTAACATGTGTTAGCTCATGCCTAGTTAACATGTGTTAGCTCATGCCTGGTTAGCATGTGTTAGACTTGGGACTCAATCCCCCGCATCAAGAATGAATGAGTGAGTGAATGAAGTTCCTTGCTGTAATTGGCATATCGCTTTGAGTTCGCATGTTGGGAGTTTAGTCCCTAGAGTAGAAGTGGTAAGAGATCACCTGTGAGGTCTTTCTGAGTGCAGGCCTGGTGAGACATCCTGAGGTCACTGGGGGAATGACACTTGGAAGGGATTGTTGTGACAATGGGAGGAGCTTTGGGCGCCTATGAGTCTTTACAAGAGTGAGGTTGAACTTTGACCTGCTCTCTGACATGTTGCCTGGCCATGTGATGTCCCACTGGCAGTCTTCAAGAGATCCGCCAGACCTGAGTTGATGCTGGCGCCCTACTCTTGACCCCCAGAACTGTGAGATCTTTTCCTCGGAGATGAGCTGTTTTACCATACTAAGAAAAATGCATGATTTAATTACAATGCAACCAATGAACTCCCCATCTATCTACTCATTCATTCATTCATTCATTTTTGGGGTTTCCTATATTCTAGAGAAGTACTGAGCACATTTTCACAGTTTTCTATTTCTGTGTCTTTTTCTTCCTCCATCCCAGCCCTGATACCTCAACCCTCTCCAGTTTATAGCTCATCACACAGTGCATGCCACGTAGAGGCCCTCAACGAACACTCCCAAGGAAGCAGCACTCCTTGTCCCGTGTCTGAGCATCTTTACCCCAGGATTTCCATTACACAACACTTCTCAACCCATCCACAGTGGTCAGTGCACACCGGCAAGTTCCTGCTCTTGAACCCCGGGCATACATTTAATGGCTGCCACGCAGAAGGTACCTCAGGTTTGGTAGTTCCCAAGCTGAACACATTTCTCCTCCTGGTCTGCTGTATTCAACCTCGCTGCTCTTCTGGACCCCATGACTCCCTGAGCCATCTAGCAGTTAGCATTTTCTTTGCCAAATGCCACACCCAGTCAGACCCATCTCCTACCTGTCTCTGGACTCTTCCATCCTTCCTGCTCCAGCTTTGGACTTTGATCTCTTTATTGAATGGCTAAGGTTCTATTTGGATCTGGACTGTCTCTCAACGGCTTGGGTGTTGAGTGTTTTTAGGGGATAGTGGAAACTTGAGGTGGTGGGAGGAGCTAGGCCACTGGGGTCTGTCTTTGAAAGGGGGTGTGATAAAGGAAACAGTAGCTGGAGATGTCAAACATCCATCTCCTCATGGGTGTGTGACGTGACTGCATGGCCTTTGACTTTTGGTCTCACAGCACTGCTGTCCCTGAGCTTGTTGTTTATCTCCTCCGTTGGGGGAGTCACACTGCTATCCCTGTACTGCCATGGCTCTGATTGCTGGCTTGGCACAAGCTGGAGCAATCTGGGAAGAGAGTCTCAGTGAAGGACTGTCTGGACCAGCTAGGCCTATGAGCGCACCTGTTTGGAATTATCTTGGTTGTCTTAATTGGTGTGGGAAGGTCCAGCCTGAAAGTGGACAGGACCATTCCCTGGTTTGGAGACCTGGACCTTGTAGGAGTAGGGAAGGTTAACTTAGCACTAGGCTCTGCCTGAATTTTTACCCTGACTTCTCCTCAACATTGTGCTATAACCAGGAATTGTGAGCTAAAAGAAATCCTTTTCATTCTAAATTGCTTTTTCTCAGGGTATTTTATTACAGCAACAGAAATGAAAACAGAACAAGTGCTCTCCTACTGAGCTACACCCCAGCCTCTTTTCTGGTTTTTTATTTTGTTTTGTTTTTAGATAGCATCTCATTAGGAAGCCCTGGCTAGCCTGGAACTCTTTATGCAGACCAGGCTGGCCTTGAACTCATAGAGATCCACCTGTGTCTGCCTCCCATGATTTGGGATGAAAAGTGTGAACCACTTAGGACATGGGGGGAGTCTTTTAAAACAGCATTAGCTAAAGCAAAGCACAGAGAAAGAGATAGATAGATAGATAGATAGAGAGAGAGAGAGAGAGAGAGAGAGAACAGTAAATCGTCTATGAAAATGACCACCAGAAAAGAGCTAAGTCAGTAAGATGACTGTTACCTCATTCAAGTGTGTTTAGTCAGGTAACTGGATATCCCCCGACCTCAGCATATTGCCAGACATGGTCGTGAAAGCCTGCTAATGTGGTATTAAAGTGCATTTCAGTGAGTGAGCCAGTGTGTCCACAGGCAGAGGCACAAATCCGGAGGCTCAGCTATGACCCGAGAGCAGGTGATCCTCCTGACTTTGGGTTCCCCAGAGCTCAGCACGCAGGTGGGATGCACCCATGAGGGAAGGCGGGGCCTGTGTCTTCTTCCTGGGCCCCTTCCCTGTGCAGTAGAGCACTCTGCCTCAGAGCCCCTCAGCAGCCTCCACCAGCCGGCATTCCATCAAGCATATACACGCCATGCACACATGTATCTTCAGAGGCACACAGCCCCGCTAGTCACACACCTGATAAAATGTGCTCTTCATTTCATTTAATGTCATTCCTTTAAAAATATTGCCTCTTTAACTAGACTGTGGAATCCTAAAGAGGAAAAACTCCATCACGTGTATTTCTTATCCTAGTG